ACAAAAAAAAAAAAAAAAAAATACCCTACCCGCGAGCAAATTTTAAGATTCAAATAAGTTTATTTTTAATTGTATATTTTTTATATATTTTTTAAATATTTTAAATTATAAATTATTGTGACTTACAATACTTTTTACGTAATAATTTATAAATATATAAATTTTATTTAAAATGAAATATGTATGATAAATTAGGACAGAGAAGTAATAACTAAAACAAAGTTGTAATATGAGCATGTGTCACGGTAATAAGTATGCATGTCATCGTGGAAACATCTGTCAAAGGGTCTTGTGTCCCTTTGTCTAGCATTTTTTGTGATTTAGCGGCAGAACTTGATCGACTGCCTTCTTCTCAACCATAGTTAAGTTACAAGTAATATAGCTCATCAGAATCGGTATAATGAATGAGGTTGCTTCTTATTTAATCAAATGTATCTAGTTTGTGTTCTAGATATAAATTTTTTTGATAGTGAGAGTGCTTTCCTTTGATTCGAAATAGTCAAATTCTAATGCATGTATCATACACAGGGAGAAATTGAAAAGGAATCATAGTGTTTACTAAGTTTATAAAGTGATCAAATTAGTTTGTAAGTATTTTTTGACTTATCTGTACTCTCTTCTTCCTTTTGTTAGAGTTTGCGAGATTCAAACAATATGAACATTAATTAATATTTTAAAATATATTTTTTATTATATAAATAAGGAAAAAGTTAAAATTTATAGTAATTTTCATATTGATTTTAAAATTTTAAGTTTTTATTATAAAATATCAAATTAATGTAATTTAATTTAGCTTTAAAGTTAATTAAACTGACTCTTAAAAAAGTACAACATGACAACTAAAAAAATGATGAGAGTATTTGATGAATAATAAAATGCTTATAAGTCGAAATCAACCAAAAGTAATAATTATTTAGGTGTGTAAGTACTTTTAATTTGACTAAATTATTTACTACTTACCTTCTTAATTTTTTTTAGTTCTCACAATACCTTTCTCAAAATAAAATTTAGAACTTCCTCTTCATCCCAGATTATAATTCCTCCTTTTCTTTAGAGGATCTTTAAAATTTATATTTTTAATGAAAATTTTAAGGATATGCTAGTCTATCTTAACATAAAACAATTTATGATTTTTTTTTAATCAAATACATAAACTGTTTATTGTCAGTTTCAACATTTTTATTTAAATTCATAACTGTTTGTTTATAAAAATTGATTTTAACACTTACAATTTATTGACTATTTATCATAAGCTAATCCAAATAGGCTTTTAATAGTTTATTTGATGACACACTCTTCTTTTAGTTTTTTTTTGTTGATTAATTTGTACTGTTCAAAAAATAATGAATCATTCATATTTTTAAAAACTATTTAATTTTAAAATTTGTATTTTATTTTTAATGATATAATTTATTATAACTTCAGTCGCTACTTATTATTACTATATAGAAGCATGATGACGACCGGACGACCAAGGCTATTTTGGTAATTTTCCGTTATATCCAATTGAACAAAATGTTGGTTATTTCGAAATTTGTGTGAAAAGTTGAGGGTGATTGGGTAATTTGAATAATTTCTTGTACCCAAATTACCCTCAAAAGTAAAACCACTTTTCAGTTCACACTTTCCAAGAGGTGGCTGACCATCGGCTCCACTTATATTGTGCCACGTGGAAAGTGTTGGGTCCCATTTCAGAAAATGATTTTCTCTCTCTTCTTAAACGTTTTTTTTCCTCTTTCCTACTTTTTTTTT